ACCCTTTAAACCCTAATTGCCCTAAAGACCCTAAAAGCCTTAACGACCCTGAATACCCTAAACACCTCAAAAGCCCTAAAATCCCTAAAGACCCTCAAGACCCTAAACACACCGAGTTACCCTTAAGACCCGAAAGGCTTAAGGACCCTAAAGACCGAAAAAACCCTGAAAATAGCCTAAGATCCTAAACGCCCTAAAGACCCTGAAAATTCCCTAAGACCCTAAAAGCCCAAAAGATCCTGAACACCCTAAACACCCTAACAAGCCCCAAAGATCCTGAACACCCTGAACACCCTAAACACCCCAAAAAGCCTCAAAGATCCTGAACACCCGAAACACCCCTGCAAGCGCCCAAAGAACCGTTCCAAGACCCTCAAGACCCTCAATTCCCTAACGACCGCAGACAAGCCCGAAGGTGGCCCGCGCATGCCAAGTTTACCACCTCGCAGACCAGACATTTCTGGCTGACACCCCAGGGGGGGGGCGGGGGGTGTAAACCCTAAACCCTAAACCCTGAACCTCAAGCGCTAAACCCTAAACCCTAAGCCATAAACCCCAGGGCGGGGTGTGGGGTTTGCTTCGTTAGGGTTTAGGGACTTGGGGGCTTTTAGGTTTTTGGGTTAGTTTTTTTGCGGGTTTCAGTTTAGGGTTTAAGGGGTTTAGGGTTTAGGGTTAGGGGAAGGATTTTGTAGGGTCCGGTTTTTGTTGTGTTTGTTTGGGGTTTATAGGGCTGCTGCAAAGCTCCAGGCTCTTGAGTTGTAGGGTTCAGGGTTCTTAGGTCTGTATTGGGATGTTCCCCCTTGAACTAACGGTCCTTAGTGGGGAATACAGTACGCCCCTCCCCCCACCCCGCCACAGCAGGGTTTAGGGTTTACGGCTTAGGGTTTAGGGTTTATAGGGTTTAATCCCTAAACTCCCTTTACCGTAAATCCGCTCGCCACCCGTCTCACCTTTTTTGGGGTAGGCGGGCGATGTGGAGCACTCAGCGAGACCAGCGCAGACTCTGCTGGGCTTCAGAGCCTTGCCAGGTATATATTCTATACCCCTAAACCCCAAATTAGACATCCTGGTTCGTGCCTTTCTAGAGGCACCACCCAGGGTTGTATAAGTGTGTAACCAACCCAGACCCTACACGCGCTAAACCCCTAACCCTTAGCCTTGAACCCTTACCCCTACACTTTGGACAAAGCGGTCCCAGGTCCACGTGAAGCTCCCATTGGCCACCACCAGCTATCAACTCCAGCGGCTTTGGTCGCAATCATCTGACAACCCCTTTTACAGGGCTTAGGGGTTTTAAGGTTTTAAGGTTTAGGGTTTAGGGATATAGGGCTTGGGGATTAAAGTTTTTAAGGTTTAGGGTTTTAGGGGTTTAGCCAGGGGGGTGTAAGGGCCCATCTTTCCCGGGGTTTAGGGTTCAGGGGTTTAGGGTTTAGGGTTGAAAACAAACGCCCCAAATGAGCCTTTACTGAATCGGAAACCCTAAACCCTAAACCCTAAACCCTAAACCCTAAACCCTAAACCCTAAACCCTAAACCCTAAACCCCCCACCCCCCCGGTCCCCGTCTTATGATCTAGGGTGTTCCATTTGCGTCATGATTCTAGGTTTAGGGATGCTGCGCAATCTTCCATCCCGCGAAGCTGAGCTCTTGTTCGAAGCTATCATCATAAGGGCACTATATCACCTATTCGGTGGAACCCATGTTATGGTAACCCTAAACCTTAAACCCTAAACCCTAAACCCTATTGCAAGCTCCTGAAAGTGGGTTTTGGTTGCAGAAGTAAGTACCGGTGGCCTCGGTTCAACACAAGGTCTCCCGTCTGCTCATCCCTGTTTAGTGTTTAGGGTTTAAGGTTTAAGGGTTCCCCAACCCCCCCCCCCCCGCCCCCAGAAAGAGAAAAGACCTTTGAAGCGGAGTGCGAACCTTGCATGCGCCCTTTCTGAGAAACTGTCTGAAAATCCTCAAAGGTTCTCCGCCAGCGAGAAGAGCGCACCGAGAAGCGTGCAGCCGCAGACGCTATGGTGCCCAATCCCTGCAAAGTTGTTTTTGGGGCTTGGTCTGGTTAAGCCAGGAGATTCCGGATATCACTTCATGAGAATCGCCTTACATGGTAAGGGCATCCTTGTAGGATCAGGCTTACGGAACATCGCTTGTCTCCTAGACCTTGCATGGCTTCTCTTGCGAAGTTCTTACAGCTCCGAGGTCGGTGCAGGGTGTGGGAACCTGGCAGAACGTCCACCGACTAGGAGATTCGCATCGTGGATCACCATACACCCAAACTCCTTCCGATGTGTTGTCCACTTGCTTTGGAAGTTACCCAAAGGCTCGTATGTAGTACCTTTTTTGGGGGTAGTATACTAGAATCCCCTTATAACTAACCCAAAAAGGAACTACAGTGCAGCCTTTGGATAGCCTACATCCAGACATCACATGAACACACAGCCCAAGCTTTCCGTAGAGTTGTTAGGGCAGTGTCTGACGCTAAGAAGTCGGAACTCGGAAAGGTGTGAAGGCTACACCGTCCACAGCTGTTTGGTGTACTAAGATTTGAGGTGGTTCTAGAATCCATCATCCTGCGGATCGAGATATTACTGGCCTTATGCGAGAGAGTTCTAATTATCCGTTCCTGAAGGAATATTGCTCAAATCTGTTTATAGGATCCCTTTTCAAGCTCAAACTTGTTCTTCCCTACTTCAGGGACATTGGGCGTGTCCGAGTGATTTTGGTCAACTTTGGCCAGCATGTCCATACTGCGGGGTCCAGGGTAGCAAGCCGAGTCGCATGCCTTGAGTTCCGGTACTGACAACCCAGTTATAGCTGCACTTATAGCCCACTTAGAAGCCCCTGAAGTACCCTAACATGGTTATTTAATTTATATCTGCACTTATGAAGCCCCTTAAGTGTCCTAACATGGTTATACTTGGGTTGTAAGTACGGTTATATGTGGGTGAAGAAGTACCATGAACCTCCAAGTAGGTTCCTTTTCAAACTACCCAATGAGTTTGTAAGTCGTAGGTGTCTAGCGATCTTATCCTTCAGAGCTGCTGGCGCAGACGCTCATGAGAGGAAGGCCCCTCGGACATTTTGACATTCCCCACAGTCAGGTATATTCAGCAGTATGTTTCAGAGGGTTTAAGGGCCAGCCTAGCATGTTGAGCTGCCTTGGCGCGTGCAAAGTTGTTCTTATCGATGCCGCGCTGTGCTCAGAATGTGTCAGTTTGCCAAGTCCTCTTACCCCTGCGTAGGCCCTCAACCCCAGAAGCCCTAAACCCTGATCCTCAACCCCCAAAGCCAAAGTTTAAGAGTCCCAAACTTCAAAGCCCGAAACCCCAAAGCCGGATGAGAGATGCCCTGAGCCCTTCGCATCTCTAGATAACCAGCAAGAGATCAGCCAGGGTTGCATGCGTTCCCTAAACTCTAAACCCCAAACCGCCTGAGCTGAGTTTTATGAGGGCTTCACGGGCTTCCCTAAAACTAAAAACAAGACGGGCCTCGGCGCCTTGATGGCACGACCAGCTGCCTTCAAGCTGCTTGCGATCCTCCACGTGAGATCATGCCTTGGTGTCTCCGTGCAAGTTGATGACCGCAGCTGACCTGCAGCTCAGGAGGTTGCCCATAAGGACCCATGTACCCACATAGTATATACTTGGCCCCTAAAGCTACTATATGGGAACCCTTCAACGCCCAGGTATATACTGTCCAGGTACATGAATCCTTTGGGTTAGGGCTTTGCAGGGTTCAGGGTCTTTGCAACGTCTTAAACGGGTACAAGGCTGAACCTTAGTCAGGGTTTAGGGTTTGCTTGTTTGCAAGGTTTTCGGCTTGGTGGTCCAATTACGGCTCAGGTGTTGATCATTTATTTCCTCACAGGTAGTATTATGTCTTCATAGTAAAGTCTTACAATCTTATACAGTTTGATTTTCAACATACAATGAGCAGATTCATGTCTTTTTGAATCGCTCTGCGATTGCGACTGCGTTCTTATTATGCGATTACTCCGTTATGTCATTATGCAACTATGTCACTGTGCTATTGTGTTCTTATGCTATATTCTGTTCTTATGTTACTATGTTGGTACATTCAGTTTTATATTATTATACGATTGCATGGGCATTTTCATTTCTTGGTACAGACACGCCCTAAAACTCAATAAACAAATAAATTATATATATATATATACATTTTCTTTCTTCAATAAACAAATAAATAGAGAGAGAGAGATATATATATATATATTTGGGCTTCGGGGTCGGGTTTGGTGTTGAATCGGATGTATTCCCGACATAGTACACATTGTATTTGCATGTGGGGTTTTTCGAAATGGGACACCCCCCCCCCCCCCCCCCCCCCCAATAGTAGGATTCCCCTATAATACGGACCCCAAGAGGGTACCCCTGGTTTCGGAAACCTCCTTGTGCTTGCATGCCCTTGGTCATACCCAGAGAGCCCAATGCCCCTTGATTAAGGAGTAGACCTGAAACTATCAAGGCCCCCTAACTAGGATTTAAGGAACATTTCTTGATTCAGGGGCATTGGGCTCTTTGGGCACTGTAGCTCGAATCTAAGTACCTACCCAAAGAGACCAATACCCTGTACTTTTGAAAACTTGACCCTAAGTCCTTTAAGGATCCCGTTATGGCAGGCTTAAGGTTTATTCATTCCTTGATTCAAGGGTATTGGGCTTTTCGGTACAAGGAGGGGCCCCCTTACTATACTAACTATAGTTAAGGGACTTATAACCTAATTTAAATTTAGGATCCTTATAAACTAATTTAGGGTCCTTATAACTCTACTTCTAACCGGGGGGGGGGGCCTCCTGGTAACTCCCCTCAACTACTAGTTGCTTGAGAACCCCCCCCAAAAAAAACACAAAAACATATTCTTCCTCATTAAGGGTAATATAAGGATTCTTATCTTCGGTAAGATTTCACTTCCTTATTAAGGGTGACATAAGGATTATTATCTTCGGTAAGATTTCAGGACTCAGCTGTCTTTCTTGAGGCGGCGAGGCGGCGGACTCTCCGTGGATCCGCCGACACGACGCGGGCAAGATTGACTCGAAGCGGTGGGTATTCGTGCCTGGGTTTAAGGGTTTAGGGTTTAGGGTTTGGGGTTTGGGGTTAGGGTTTAGTGTTTAGGGTTTGGGGTTACTGTTTCTGGGTTTTGGAGTACTAGACTTTAATACTTGTTTTGGTTCTTGGTTCCTACTATAGCTACTTATACCTAGAAAGTATATACTTGTTTCCAGGGTCTACTCCAAAGTAGGGGGTAGGCCTTTGGGATATTGTCTGTTTTTCCCATATTGGGTTTAAGCGGATCAAATTTGGAACATTTTGCTTGTTGGGTTTGAGAGGCTGATCTTCAGGAGTGTTTTTTCAGAGTGCTTTGAATGCCCATCTTAGGTGCATGTCCCCAAGACTGCAGGGACGACCATCTGGGACGCCCTGGGCCCTTCTTACACTGACTCGGGGCGATATGATGAGGTGCAGTTCCTGGGTCATTGTTGAAAACCATTTTACATTTTTATGAATGCTTAAACCCAACAAGGAACAACAATGATCATTTCTAGTAGTACCCCAACAATGCACAATGCTGCAGGTTCGGCTGCATGAAGCACAATCCCCCCAGAGATCATGTCAGAAATAGCTTCGCCATCGTGCGGGAGCCGTGCGATCGACTGGTCTCCGAGTTTGCATGGGCCAAGAATCAGGCCTGGTTTGACGTATACTACAAGGAGTACCGCGTTGCGAAGGCCTTCCCGCCCACCTGCGCGACATGGCGAGAACCATCACACGTTGTGGTGTTTTCTTTTGCGAAGTGTGATCTTTTTACCCTCAACTCTACCAGCGATGTTCGTCCTTACAATTTTTTCAAGAATAATTATTGAAATGAAAGTTAATAATTAACAGCAATTATAATAGTCATAAATAATAGGGAGGAAGGGTATAAGAGTAGAAGGGTCAAGCGCGCTTTGGGTCTCACTATAGGAGGAACAGGCAGGCGCTTGACGTCAGAGTTCTGCCTTTGAGTTGCAGCTTAAGATGCTCTTGGGTGAAGCTGCCATCCACCAGTTTGGGGTTAAGGGTTTAGGGTCTAGTCTAGGGTTTCGGGTATTCGCAGGAGATGTTCAATGGTTGGGTTCGTGCTGTTCTGCGCCGCTACGCGGAGCGATCCGACGTGGAGGATTGCCACGTGATCCCCCAATGGTGCTACCTCGCCAAGGCAGGCCCGGCCCCTAGCTCGAAGAGTCCAAAGACCTCTCAATGATTTCTGAAACCGATTTTCGGGAGGCGTTGGGGGGGTTGGGGGGGGGGGGGGAAGACTGCGGGGAGGGAGGGGGGGAGAAAGAGGGGGGGAGAGGCGTTTTGATGCGTTTGGGGGTTCTCGGAGAGGGGGCTTGGAGAGCCAAAGGGCAGAAGAACCTGCGTCGGGCCCACTACCCCCCCCACCCCTCCCACCCGGGGCCACTATCGTCCGCCCCCGCCCCCTAAGTCACCCAAAAGCTCCGAACCGCGGCAGGTGGAGCGAATACTCCCCTTGGATGGGCACTTGCAAGACCACTTCCGATCTTTGGCCCCCGACTTTCGAGACGTTGTCTTGAAGAGGTTGCCTCGCTCTGTTAGGGACTCTACAAGGAGGGGCCCCCTTAGTATACTAGCTATACTTAAGGGACTTAGAACCTAATTAGGGATCCTTATAGTTTAGTTTGGGGTCCTCATAACTCTACTTATAACTAGGGGGGGCCCTCCTTGTAACTCCCCTCAACCACTAGTTGCTGAAGAACCCCCCCAAAAAAACATAAACATAGTCGTCCTTATTAAGGGTGATATAGGGATTATTGTTTTTTTGTTTTATTATTCTTGTGGGGTTCTTAAGCAAATAGTAGTCAACCCTGGCTTCCGGGTTGAGGGTGTATCATACAGGGCTTGGGTTTATATCCTAAACGACGACCCTCGTGGCTGTACAGGGTCAGAGCAGGGAATGGCAACCCTACGTCCTGAACCCTAAATCCCAATGGTAAAGGCCGCATACAATATTTTATATTAAAGAACTTGTCTCTCCATATGCTTATGCATATAATTGTTCGTTTACATCCAGACCCTTAAGCCCTAAACCCTAAAGCCGAAACCTGAGGCCTTATTCTGCCGCCCTCCCAAATTCTCTAAACACATCTCTACCAGCCTACAGGTCAACTCTAAGCCCAGCAAGTGTCCAGAGCGAGGCTGAATTCAGATGACTCGGCGCGCCGAAGCAACGTCACCTGTGCGTGCCTGGACGCTGAAAACCTGCCCCTTGCTGGCAGACCGGGACCCCAACACTCAAAACCGGAATCCTTCACCAACTCCAGAATCCGAACCTCGATCCAACGACATATGCCTTAGGTGCTCTAAATGCCCTTGGGCTCCTTCTACCTCCGAAGCCCTAAACCCTAAAGCCTTAGGACGTTCTGGTTCAGGGTTTGGGTTTCTTGGGGAATGTTCAAGGCTGACTGTCTCCACGGATGGTCAGATGGCCAGTTCTCTAGATGATGATGATGATGATGATGATGATGATGATGATGATGATGATGATGATGATATGTATATATATATACACACATATTTCTAGGTATATACGGATATATATATATATATGCATACATAGACATACATAGACATATATATATATAGATTATTATATACATATACATATATATATATATATGTTTACACACATATATGTATGCAACTAGATATAGAGATTTGTTTATTGGCGTTTGAGGTGTGGGAGTTCCCTGTTGCTATTGCAATCGGCGCCGTAGAAGTAAGAGGCCCCAGACCAAAAGAGCTGAAGGTCGTTTAGGATTTAGGGGGTTGGGGCTCAGGCCTGGAAATCTGAGGTTTAGGGTTTAGGGTTTAGGGTTTGGGGGAGCTCTCTCAAGGTTAGCCATCCAGCAGCATTTCCGAGACGACTTTGCCTCTCGGTTGGACACGCTGAGAGTCCAAGCCCCGGACCCTAAACCCTAAACCCTGAACCCTAAACCCTAAACCTGATTTCAAGCCGCGAAACCCGTAAGAACTAACTTCAGAATGGCTACGAAGGCAGCTATACCTCCCTAACGATCCATGTACCTATATCGTGTATGCTTGGGCCGTTTTCGGGGCTCCGATATAGTAGGTGTAGGGGCCAAGTGCCTACTACACAGGTACATGGATCCTTAGGGCCTTATGAATTTTAGGGTAGTTGCATGATCCCTTAGACCCTAAACCCGAAACCCTAAACCCTAAACCCTAAACCCTAAACCCTTAGGAGGGGGCCCCTTATATACCAGCCCAAGGGATGGGTAGCCCTGGCCCCCGCGGAGCCTTCCTGACAGGGCTCTTCGGGGTGCTTGGGCTTGATCCGGTTTAGGGTTTAGGGGTTTGGGGTTTGGGGTTTAGGGTTTAGGGTTAGGGTTTACGGGTTTAGGGTTTAGGGTTTAGGGTTTAGGGTTTAGGGTTTAGGGCCTTTAGGTCCTTTAGGGCTCTCTTTGGGCTGTAGGGTTGAGGGTTGCGAGTGGCTGGGAGTCACGGGTAAAGGCTTTCGATCTGTGTAGGCCAACTCAAACCCTTCATACAACCCCCCAAACCCCCAACCCACAAAGTGAATTGCCCAAACCCTAAACCCTAAACCCCAAACCCTAAACCCCAAACCCTAAACCCTAAACCCTAAACCCCAAACCCTAAACCCCAAACCCTAAACCCTAAACCCTAAAGAGCCCAACATCCCTGCGTTAGGGAACTGGGACCCAGGGTGGTCCTTGATTTCACGTTGTTTAGGGCTTAGGGTTTAGGGTTTAGGGTTTAGGGTGTTCCTTTATGAGGCCCCTTTAAACCAAACAGGGTGCCCTTTTTATTCCTAGGGTTCCTCTTGGGTCTAATAATGAATATGGCTTAGGCTTAATCTGTTTAAGGATCGATTCCTTTCTTAAGGGGCATTGGGCTCTTGGGGTGCTTTCGAACCCTGCAACTGTAAGTCCCACTCTTTTTTGCGAAGCCCTTTAAACCCCAAGTCCCGTAAGCCCTTGTTGACTGGGGGATTAGGGGCTTAGGGCTTAGGGTTTAGGGGTTTAGGGTTAGGGTTTAGGGTTCAAACACAACAAAAAAAACCCTGCCTATGAGCCCCATAAACCCTTGACGATGCCCTAAACCCCTAACCCCCGAGCCGGCGATGAAATCCCGCTAAAACCCTAAACCCTCAACCCTAAACCCTGAACCCTAAACCCTAAACCCTGAAGTTACAAAGAGGCTACCTGGCGCTTGGTCTCTGGCAACTCCTCGCCCTTCGCACCACGAGGCGCCTGGGTCCCCCTGGCCCTGCTACCAGGGACATGCGTGGGGAGAAAGTGGGGATGTCTTAGGGCTTTGGGTTTAGGGTTTCGGGTTTCGGGTTTAGTAGTTTAGGGACCCCTAAACTCGCCCCACGAAATAGTAGGATTCCCTGAAAATAAGGACCCCAAGAAACTATCCCCCCCCTATTCTGAAACCCCCACCTATCAATCTGGTTCACACCCGGAACAAGAAACACCAAAATTCACGCTTACTTGGGGGGCCAAACCCTAGACCCTAAACCCATAAACCCTGAACCCTTAATCCCTAAACCCTTGAACCCTTAAACCCTGAACCCTAAACAGCCTAATAGCCAGCACCTAAAGTTACGGTACCTTACTTGCAGTTCTGCCACATATTCACCCCCCCCCCAAAAAAAAACCTAATGAACGTCCCCGAATACCGAGGCGCTGATCCTCGGGCGCGGCGCGCCAGCTGCAGCTTCCGGAAGAACGGCATGGAGATCTGATCTCCGAGCTCTGGTGTTGTGTGTCTCTACCTCGGGCACTCAAAGTACTCATAAGAAGTAAACCCTCAACCCTAACCCTCAACCCTAAACCCTAACATAGTCATAGCCTACAGCATTCGCAGCCTCAATGACAGTCTGAGGGCTTGAGTCTTGAGGCTTTTTTTAAGGTTCTATTCGCAGGGTTTAGGGATGTAGGGTTTGATGCGGCCCACCCTATGACGGATTCCACATACCCTAAAGGCCCTGAACCGCCAAAACCGCCTAGACCCTAAAGCCCCTAAACCCTAAACCCCTAAACCCCTAAACCCCTAAATCCTAAACCCTAAACCCTAAACCCTAAACCGGATGATTCCGAAGCCCTTGAAGCCCTCAGACCAGCCGCGAGTTGACTTGCGCCAGCCTGCTGGCCACGGCGCTGCGGGATGAAAAGCCGCCAGAAACCCCAAACCCAAAAGCCTGAATATTTAGGGTTTAGGGTTTAGGGTTTAGGGTTTAGGGTTTAGGGTTTAGGGGTTTAGGGGTTTAAGGGTTTAAGGGTTTAAGGGTTTAAGGGCTTCGGGTTTAAAATACCCCCCCCCCCCCCCCCTCCAGTTCCCGGATTTCCTCTCTCCGCAACCCAGACCCTAGACCCGGAAATATTCCCACCTTCAAGGGCGTGCAGCGTGTTCTACATTCCAAAACGTCCCTAATCCCCTATAAGCCCATCCCTAACTCCTGAGCCCCCAAAGCCCTAAACCCGAAACCCAAAAGCTCGTAGACCTCGCAACGCGGTTTGAAGCTGAAGAAACCCTAAACCCTAAACCCTAAACCCTAGAAACCCTAAAACCTAAACCCTAAGCTTTCCTGAGGGTTCCAGGACTCCTTATTTACTTGGAGGTTCATGGTACGTATATCCCAGCAAGAACTGCACTTAGCGCCCACTTAGAAGCCCCTTAAGTGCCCTACAAATTTAGAGTTGGGCTATAAGTACAGTTACAATTGGGTTAATAAGTACCATGAACCTCCAAGTAACCCTAAACCCTAAACCCTAAACCCGAAAACCCTTCAGGGAACTTACCGCACTTGGGCGTTGAGGCTTCAGGGCTCGGGGTCCAGGTTGGGGTCTGAGTGGTCATGGTCGCACTGCCAGTAGTAACCCTAAACCGGCAAGAAGGCTCCCGGTGCAGAGGTACTCCATTCGCAGCACGGAGCATTGCGACTCCCTCGTCCGCTCCATCGACGACCGTATGATGAGCAAGTTCGGGCTCTGCCGGCAGGGCTTAGGGCTCAAAGTTTTCGGGTTTAGGGCGTTTAAGGTTTAGGGTTGGGGGTCTTAGGGGCTTAAAGTTTTAGGGTTGAGGGCGTTTAGGGTTTAGGATTCTTAGGGCTGAGGGTTCGGGGTTTAGGGCTTAGGGTCTTTTTTGGGTTTTTAGGGTCTTTTGGGGCCTGCGGTTCTTGGGAGCCCGGTGGTACCCTTTCCCCCTTCTTTTGATTCAAGGTCCTACCAAGGGGTGTTAGGGTTTTAGGCTTTTAGGGTTTTAGGGTTTTGGGTTTTAGGGCCTGAAGGGGTTTGGGGTGCACCATGAGGTTTCCAAAGGGGCTCTAAAATGTGCCTTTACACAACTTTTCGCCGTGGCCTTCGAGGTTAAGTACTCTGCGGTCGGGGGTTCATGGTGCAAGGTATCAGCGTCAGCGTTTCCGATTCATTATGCAAGCCATGACAGAGTTCCTGTAGGGTTGAGGGTTTAGGGTTTAGGGTTTGCCGAAGAGCATGGCTTGGCCTATGCCAGGTCAAGGGGATCAGTGCGCAGATTCGGCAGAACTCATGCAACCCAAAACTAGACCCTGAACCCTAAACCCTAAACCCTAAACCCGCGACTGGTTGAAGTTGACGCCACGTGAAACATCTAGTCAAGCCTCCTGATGCCTGGAGCTCAGGAGGTAAGGCTTTGCTTTCTTGAGTTCAGGGTTTAAGTTAGGGGCTGCTGAGCTTCCAAAGCTTGGCTACTTCGCTCCCTCCACCAAAGCCCAAACTCTAAACAGCAAGCACCGAAGCAACTGCCAACCCACCACATATTGCAGATGGTGAGTTCTCTGACTCATGTCTCATGTTTGCCTACTGCTTCTTGCACACGCAGTGGTGGAAGCTGGTTCAGTCCCTTAAAGAGGTTTAGGGGGACAGAAGGAATCTTCTTCCCACATGCACTATTGACGCCGACTAATACAGGGTTAGGGTTTAGGGTTTAGGGTTTAGGGTTTAGGGTTTAGGGTTCAGGGTTTTGGACCCTACACCCTACACCCTACAGCCTACACCCTACACCCTAAACCCTAAACCCTAAACCCTAGACCCTAGACCCTAGACCCTAAACCCTGACCCTGCGAAAGGAAGCTACTTAGAGGTCTAAGCCCTAACGACTCATAAACCCTGAACGTGTCCAAGCTCCTCCTCCGACAGCCCCGTGTGGCCTCAATAATTTCAACAAGTACCCCTAAACCCTAAACTCTAAACCTTTTATGTATGTATACAAGGCCGCAGGTCATTATTCTGGCTTACTTCGGCCTACCGGCTCCCTGCGCCCCACACTTCAAACTGCACCCGAAACCCCCAAACCTAGGGTTTAGGGTTTAGGGTTTAGGGTTTAGGGCTTAGGGCTTAGGGCTTAGGGGCCCCAGATGCCAGGTTCGCCAAGACAGAGCTGGAGACGCAGCTGTCGGGAGTTACCATCCTAGCCCCGCTGACATATAGGCCCTGGAGTGTGGGCTTAGGGTTCAGGGTTCAGGGTTCAGGGTTTAGGGTTTAGGGTTTAGGGTTTAGGGTTTAGGGTTTAGTGTTCAGTAAGGTTTACCCAGAGGGCCCTTTATACACCTGAGTTAGAGAATATACCTTAAGCTATATGGGGGTCCTTAGAATGGGGTAGTCGGCTCTTTGGGTAGGGTTTAGCGGTTGTCAGGGTTCAGGTTATTGAGGGGCGTGTTACGGTGTAGGCTCTATTTAGGGCTTCTGTGATTAGGCCTCGTCAGTGTTCAGGTCAGGGGAAAGGGTTCAATATAGGGATCGGAATAATTGCCAAAACTAAACTGTTAGGATGCTTTCATAACTATACTACACCAACCCCCCCCAAAACCTTATTAAAATCATTCAGGATACTACATTACTAGGGTTCAGGGTTCAGGTTTTGTTTGGGCTTTTGGTTAGGGCTTGGGGTGATCTAGGCCTTCGAACAGAGGCAGGGTATGCTGCACGATGAACCCGATTTTAGTGTTTAGCGTGTGGGTTTTAGGGTTTAGGGTGTAGGGCTTAGGGTTTCTAAAGTATCGCTTGAGGAAGCAGTTTGGGTTTTGGGGTTCAGATTTGGGGGTCTTCCTTATCTCGGTCGCTCTACAAGGCCTGCCGGTATTACAGGGTCCTTGAGGGGGCGTTCATGGGAGGTAGGTATCTAGGGAAGCTTCGGGAGCATTGGGGAGTAGTGGGGAGTGTTGGGAACCTTAGGTTGCATACCCCCCTTGAAGCCGCCCTCCCTTAAGGGCCCTATAAAGATATCAGGGTTCATCGATTTTTGCTCCACAGGCTCCGGAACTTTACACCATAGCCCCACAGGCTCCGAAGCCTTACACCCTAGCCCCCGAACACTAACGCAAAGCCCTAGACTTAAGCAGTGAAGCCCTTTGTCTCAAACTTTCAACAGCAAATCTCTAAATCCCTCATCCCTAATCCCATGCAGAGCTCCGAAGTGGGGGGGGGGGGCCTATGTTTGACACGAAGCCCCGAAACGCAGGGTCCCAGTCGGCCAAGTCTACTTCTTGGTGTTGGTGGCCGGAAGCTTATGCACAGGGTACTTGGGCTTAGGGCTTAGGGTTTAGGGTTTATGGTTTAGGGTTTAGGGTTTAGGGTTCAGGGTTTAGGGTTTAGGGTTTAGGGTTTAGTTTGGGTTTACCTTAGGGACCAGATGAGCGTAAAGTTGTGGTCAGCTACCCGATACTACAATCCCTTGGGATGTCCCCCCCTTCTACTAACAGTCCTCGAGGGTACTATAATCCCGATTAAGGCATGCTACAGTAGTATAATGGGGGACATCCCAGTTATATGAACCCTACTTGGAGGTTCATGGTAGTCATTAACCAGTTCTAACTGTACTGTCTCATAATCATATTCGGGCACTTAAGGGCCTGTTTAGTGGGTGAGAAGTACAGTTAGAATTGGTTCATAAGTACCATGAACCTCCAAGTAGTACCCCTAAACCCTAAACCCTAAACCCTAAACCCTAAACCCTAAACCCTAAACCCTAAACCCTAAATATAAGGGGATCCTATAAAAGGGCTCATGTGGTCCCCATGGCAGACCTCTGGTCTCAAGGTTTTTTGCGGGTCGGGGCTTCAGATTCTCATGAGATACCATGGACCCCTAAGACTCTTTAGGGTTTAGGGTTTAGGGTTTAGGGTTTAGGGTTTAGGGTTTAGGGTTTAGGGTTTAGGGTTTAGGGTTTAGGGGTCCGAGGTAGATTCGGGTCTGAGGATATGGGCTCCAGGTTTGTAGGGATTCGGGTCTCGGAGTCCGGGTTTGCTTCGGTATCCTGCAAGAGGGAATGCTCACTTTTCGAGCTTTGGGATATAAGCCCTAGGCCCTAAACCCTAAGCCCTGAACCCTAGTTTAAAAAAATAAAAAAAAAAAAAGGGTTTAGGGCAATGTAACTCCATGGGCCTGACTAGCTGTCATGCGGAACTCTGCGCCACATTGCTGGTTGCAAACCCTCAACTCGCGTAGGCCCTCAGCCCTCAATCCTTAACGGGTGTTTGTTGGGATGTTCCCCCTTGTTCTGACAGCCCGCCTGGTGGAGGCCCAATATTAGGGGTGTCAAATGTGTCAAAGTTTAGGGCTTAGGGCTTAGGGTTTGGGATGTTCCCCCCTATACTAACAGTCCTTAATAGGGACTCTGACAGGGGGCACAAGAATCCTAACTAAGGACTCTTCGTATAAGGGGGAAACATCGCAAAGTGTCTAGGTGTAGGGCATTTCAACGCGT